GCCGCGCGACCTGAAGCCCCGCCCCTGCCCGCCTGAGGCCCCGCCCCGCTGGGCCGCGCTTGCCCTCGAGCGGGCGGGGTGGAGCCGGGCCTGTTGGGAAATGTAGTTTTGGGGGAGAAGCGTGGCAGAAGGTTGGGGTTCTCGCACCCGCGGGTTTGGGAAGCGTGTGACAGCCGCAGCCAGCACTGTTTGCGCACACGGGCAAGCAGCAGGCGACCCGGAAGGCCGGCAGCCCCTGCCAATCGAGCGCCCCCGAGGGAGCTCGTCCTCCAGCCAGCCGTGGCCCACTGTCCCTGCCCTGGGACGGGCCAGCCGTCCGAGGCCGGGGCCTGAGAAGCCGGGTTTCTGCTCGGTTTTCCAACGACCCGCCCCGGCCTGGTTCCTCGCGGGCCCCACCCCGTCCTCCTAGCGAGGGCTCTGGTCAGCCGAGAGCCGGGCAGAGGCGGGCGAGCCGTCAAACCCCTCCCCGCGGCCTGAGGGTGGTGGAGGACTCAGACTTCACATCTCCAACGGAGAAAGGAAAATACCGAGGAGCTGGAGATAGCAGCGCATCCCCGAGGGCCAAGACAGCGGCTTGCACAATCCGCAAGTGTTCGGTCACGAGCGCCTGCAGACTCGTCTCAGATCCCCTAGGCTTGGGCTGGGGGAGGGCAGCGAGGCCTCGACACAGCCCTTCGGGAGGCCCAATCGGAGACTGCGAGCAGGGAGCGGGGGCCTGAGAACGCAGCCTACCGCGGGAGGGAGGGACATGTGTCCTCCGCGGCACCCTGGGGAAATGTCCACTAAAGGGGTGTTCGTGGGGCGGGAAACAGGTGGGTCCTCGCTGCCCGGGGAGGGGGACTCGTCCACTTGTGCCCGGGGGGCGTGACGGGGCGCCCTAGCTGCACACAGTCGCTGCTGTCAGGGAAGCGCTGAGGCGCGCAGAGGGGTCGGGCGCGTGCAGGGTGGTACGGCCTGGACAACTCGGGGACACAGAGCATCTTGGGGTCTGCAGGCTTCCAGGCCGGGTGACTTCGAGAAACCGGTCTCTCACTTGCAGACCTTGCTGGGAAAGGACACAGGAGGCAGCCCCTGGGGAGAAGAATTTATTGCTCTGCCCGCTTAGCCTGGCCCGCCCAGGCTCTACCAGCAGTGGTAGCTGGGGTAGGTCTCGGACACAAACTCTGGGTGGACGACGTAGTTGTTTCTCTGGGGCCCACCGGTCTTCTTGAAGTGACTTGTGTCCCATCTGCAGGGAGCGACCGGTCAGCCCCGTGGGCCGCTGGCCATCGAAGCGGACATCTGACTCTCCTCCTCAGGGCCAAACTCATCTCAGCATTTTGTCACTGAGGCGGACCCCAGGCTGGGACACTGGCCAACCCTGACCTCCCGACCTCAGGCGTCCTGTCAAGCTGCTGGCACACCCTGCACACTCCCCAGCTTGAGTACTTATCCTTGGGCTCAAGCCCTGAACCCAGCCCCTTGAGTCTCGGTGCACTGCTGCCTGTAACCCCTCGGACTGACCTCCTGGCCTCCCTGGGGGCCTCCCTGCCTTTGCCCGTTTTGACTTCCCCATGGCGCTCGCGCCCCCTGGTGGCATTTTCCTGTCTGTGCCTCACAGGGGACGCTTCCCCGCAAACCAGTCCCACCCACGTCACCGCCACGCTAAGCGCACAGCTTGCAGCGTGCGTGTGCAGCTAGAAGTGCGCGCACCAGACTTACCTAAGGTTGGGACATGGGTAGTATGACGGCGGGGGAGTTGTAACAGCACAGCGCATTCCGGGCCGGTGCTCGCAGGGGGACACACTCCTGGGGAAGCAAGCGGTGGGCGGGAGGAGATGGGCCTTCCCGTACTTACCTTGCACCCCACAGTTCAGCCAGGCACGGGGGCGCAACCTTACTCTCCAGGAGCCCCTCCTCCTTCCCTTCAAGACCCCGCTGTGGCACCGCCTCCGGGAAGGTGCCCTAGGTGTCCCCTCCCCGCGAGGCCTAATTTCTGCAGCCCAGGGCGGGCTGTGCAGCTCGCACGGCTCCGGGGCGGCTGGACGGCAGTAGTCGAGGACCTGGGGTCCCCAGGTTCCCACTCGGGGCAGCAGTTTCTCCAGCCCCACGGAGGAGGCAGCGTTTCCGAGCGTTTCGATGCCCTGTGCCCTTGCGAGGGGTAGGCCCGGTCTCGCGCAGTGATCGGGCTCTCTCCGTTGCCGTCGATTTACGTTTCTCCCGAGCTCGGCCTGCCTCCTCTGCGGCCAAGTTCAGGCAAACGCGGCGCTGCCGCAGGGCGAGCTCGGCCTCAGTGTCCACAGCAGTGAGCACAAGAGCGTCGGTCCGCTGAGGGCGCGGGGCCCCGCGAAGCCAAGCCGCTCCGGTGGAGCGGTCACCATTTTCCTGGCTGATTCTCCCAGCAGTGATCTGGGTTTCTTTGAGCGCACAAGACATTTGGCAGGCCAGCACCTGCGTCTCCAGGGGCAGGTGTCCAGGTGGTGGTCAGGGCTGGTGGGTAGGAGAGAGCGGGGCTGATGTGGGGGTTCGCGTCCTCAAAATCCCTGTGCGGCAGGCCCTCCAGAGCACACACAAGGGCCAGGTTGCTCTTGAGCCAGAACAGGGCTGGGTTCTCCGTTCAGGTGTTCCTTGTGTCCCGAGGCCAGAGGGCGGGACCCAGCGGGGCTGTGGCCCGTGCAGGGGCTGGCATTGGAGAAGGGGCAGGGATAGAAGGGGGCGTGGAAAGCAGGCCATGAAGGCGCACTCCTGTCATCCCAGCGCTCGGGAGGCTGAGGCAGGAGGATTGCCACAAGTTCGAGGCCAGCCTGGGCTACATAGCAAGTTCCAGGCCAACGTGAACTATATAGCGAGACTCTGTCCCAAAAAACAAACAGTCAAAAGAATAAACCAAACAAAACCCCAACCAAACAACAACAGCAAACTGGGCGTGAAGGTGCGCGTGCGGTCCAGGGCTGGGAGGCGCGGCGGCGCCCGCACAGGCAGGCGGACCCGGGCGAACCTTACAGTCGGCTGCTCCGAGCACAGGGTCCGCAGGTGGCGGCGCTCGCACGGCGCCCCGGACACGCAGTAGTCCATCCCGCGCAGGCAGTAGTGGCGCCCGGAGCAGGCGCTCTCGTAGCCCTGGAACGGCAGGCGGCCGGGCAGCGGGTCCACGCACCCGCAGCGGGGCGCGATCTGCGGCAGCGCCTGGTTCCGGGACAGCGAGTTCAGCATGTTCACCACCACGTCGCGCTCTGCGCCCGCGCGTCCGGAGCCCAGGAGCCCCGCGGACGGCACGGGGGAGAGAGGGGCACAGGCGGTGAGGGCCCGGCCGCGCCCTGCGCGCCCGGCGCGAGCTGCCCCGGCCCCTGCCCGCCCCTTTACCGTAGGCGTTGAGGCGCTCCGGCTTAGGAGGGCACTCCAGGGGCACCCCGCGCGCTGCCGTCTCCATCCCGGCCTCCTGGAGGTGGCACACGTGCTGGCTCAGGCTCTGACCCGAAGTGGCTCCCAGAACGCCCAGACCGAGGCCTCGGCGGCGCGGGGAGCCGTGCCGAGCGTCGGGCTGTCGCTGAGCAGCGCTTGCCTCGGCCTCGGGGCGGGGCGGGGCGGGGCAGCGGGTGTGGGTTTGGTCTGGGCTTCTGATAACGCCCCTTGGGCCTTTTGCCTTTGATTTTACCCCTTCGTCTAGCTGTGCCTGGGTGTCTCTTAATAGGAGGCTCGCAGCGTTGCTTGCCCACCAAAATCACCAGGGCAGCTGGTGAAAACTTCTGATCTTTGAGGACGTTCTAGTTCAGAAGTGTTCCATCAACCCTCAGGCTCCAGGTGGCCGCCTCTGGCCTTAGGGCCTGTGGCTTCCCTGCAGTGGGCCGGCAGGGGCAGGACTCCCGCTCACCTCCTTGGCGGTCTTTCTACTGAGCAGCCTTGCTCCCCTGCTGCCTGCCCTGCTCACCTCACAAAGGACAGCAGGGTGGGGCAGGGGCAACTCATTATCGTCTCCTTGGCCAGCCTGGGTGTCGCTGCCAGACCAGCTAGAGAGGGGCCGGTGGGCAAGCTTCCAGAGGGCAGCGTGTCAGGAGTGCATGCCAGCTGTGTCCCTGAGAGCCCGGGGTGTCACATTTCTGGACTCTGCTTCCAGCCGAGAAATGCGAGCCCTAGTTCCACAGATGGGAAGAGCCCTGGAGCGTTGTCCAGGGGAAGGACTGGGAGATGGGGTGTGCGCGTGCGTGCGTGTGTCCAGGCATCTGTGGGGGGCAGAGTGGGTACCTTAGGCAGTCGAGGAAGGCAGGTGGTGTACTTGTTCCAGCAGGTGCTGCTGTAAGGTCCTGTCCTCCAGGTGCAGTACGGGTCGCTGCCCAGGTAACTTGGGCAGCATTTGTTTTCTTCATAGGGGCAGAGGTCAGATCATGTTACTCCTTATTCTGCCCAGGGTCTGGGACCCTAGATGTTCCTGCTCGGAACCCCAGCACAAAGCAGACTCTCACTGGCCTCCTCAGGCCCTTCCCCAAGCCCAGCCTGGCCCTACACGGTCTCCTGACACCGAGACGCAGCCCACACGGAGCCCACCCACAGCAGGTGCTGGAGGGAGGTGCAGATCTACGGCCGGTCACTTCTCATCCTGGCTCTGCCTGCTCTGAGGTGGCCGGCCTGGGGCCTCCCCCAGCTCGTTCTCTCGCTCCTCTGTCTCTCTCATCTCCCACATGCAGAATCTAAAGTGTGCTTATCCCACCTCCTAACAATCACTTCGTCTCTCCCATCTTTCGTCCCCCCCCCCTGATCTCACTGTCTATTTCTGTACCATCTTAACCACAGAGACAATATATTGCCTTATATTATAAGACAGCTGTTATATTGTATTATCCAAGTGTCAATATAATGTCCTGGTTAACAAAACGGACTCTGCGGATAGATTGCCTGGGTTTAATTCTCAGTTCTGCCAAGTAATAGCTATGTGTGATCTTGACCAAGTTAATCAAATTTCCTGTCTTAGTCTCCTCAACTTAAAAATATGGATAATAGTATTATCGTAGGGTTTTTGTGAGGTTTAAACAACAAAACGTTTAAAACAGTACTTGACACATACAACACTATTACGATTAATCTACTGGTCTCCTTGCCTCATCTTTGAAATTGTACAGTCCATCCTCACATACAAGCTGTGGTGCTTTTTCACAAGTGAAAATTTGACCAAGACTTCTCCGTAGTTAAAAAGCTGTAACAGAACCCCTGTCATCTAAGCTGTCCTTCAGGGCCCTTCACGCTCTTCTCCCCAATATATTCTGAGGAACCCCTCTGACACACAGGATGAAAGAAGCCCTAGAGAAGAGCAGGTGGGTAAGGGGAGGGGGCAGAACGTTAGGGTTTGCTTTGAATTGGTGCGTTATACACACTGAGTTTGATGTGCTTGGGTACTGGGTAGAGATGACTGTAATCAGATGAAAGAGAATGGAATTTTTTTTTTTTTAGACAGGGTCTTGCCATGCAGTTCAGGCTTGTCTTGAACTCACTATGTAGCTCATGCAGCCTGAAACTCACGGTAATCCTCCTGCCTCAGTCTCCCAAGTGCTGGGATCATAGGTGTGCGCCACTATGTCTGGCTAGAATGAAATTCTGGTGTGAAATCAAGGGTGCAAATAAAGACTTGGGGTTGTGAGTAATTAAAGTCATGAGTAAGTTAGATAAAATGGCCTTGGAGGAGGAGCAAGGAGAGAAGAGGGCCCGGGATAGTACCCCAGGAACCTCTTTCCGAGGTGCATGGATGCATCAGACACCCGGCAAAGTGAGAGACTGGAAGAGCCGAGGAAGGAAGTAGTGCTAAGGACTAGAGGGGTCAGAAGAGGGAAACGTGTGAGGTAGCACTCAGAGGGTAAAGGATGGTGAGTCCTATGAATATGGTCATCACAACCACAGGAGTGCAATTTTAGTGTTTGTAGGAAATGCAAACTCCTGACCTCAAGTGGGAATTTTCAATTCGTTCACCAAATACTTAGGAAGACTGGTACTTAAATGGCTCTTCAGTGGAGGAGACACAACTACAAATAAGATGATATTCTGTTCTCTTGAATGGACGGGGAGACAGTACAAGGAGCCAACAAGCCGGGCGTGGTGGCGCACACCTATAATCCCAGCACTCAGGAGGCTGAGGCAGGAAGATCAGTGAGCAGAAGGCCAGCCTGGGCTACTGTGAGACCTTTCTAAACAAACAAACAAACAAGCAAACCCAAATCTGAACAATAAAAGAGCCAAGGAGAAAGACCGTTTTCATAAAGCCTGTGAAGGGAAGTAGAGATGATGGGTACAGGCTATATTTCAGGAATCTTGGCTGTGAAGGAGAGAAGCGAGATAGAAGTTTAGGTCGGAAGAAATCAGAAAATGCTCCAGGTTGAAGATGAGATGTTCAGCGGGGCGAGGGATACAGGAGAGGTGGAGATGGTGACGAAAAGGATTGCTTAGAGGGCGGGAAGGGACGGCATCTAAAGTGCGCCCGGAGGGGCTTGTGTGGGGGGTTAACATTCTCTCCTTCTCTCTCAGGACGCAACCCAGGGCTCTTCCAGTCCTTTTTTCAGAGGGACTTCTCTTTTTTTTTTTTTTTTTTTTGGTTTTTCTCCGGTACCAGGAATCGAACTCACGACCTTGCACTTGCCAGGCAGGCGCTTTGCTGCTGAGCTAAATCCCCAGCCCCCAGAGGGACTTCTCAAAGGCCAGGGACCTGGTCCTCCAAGGTCATCAAGACAGGTGGTTGGAAGCTGGATTGGAATGGGTGTTGGCTGGGGAAAGGCCTAGATTGTGGGTGGAGATAAAGCATGTGGAGGATCGGGGTGGATAAATTGGGTTCAGATTAGGGGTCCTTGTGGGGGCCACTGCTGGCTCAGAGTTGGGGGAAGGCTGAGGCCTACCTTCCTCTTGGGAAAGCCAGTACTTCTCCGGCAAGTAGGGGTGGCCTGGTATAGAACTCTTATAGCTGTAGTCCTGTGCGGCGCATCTGGCCATCTTCTGCAGGGCTTCAGGATCTGTGTGGCGCTTCATGGTTTGAGTCAGACCCTGGGCAAAGGGAGAGAAGTGGCTGCACGCACAGGGACTCCGGAGCTGGGGCCCTGCTGTGCCCAGATCCAGTCCCTTTTGAGGTCAGCCTGGTCCAAACCCCTTCTGTACACCAGAGGGATTCTCAGGCCAACTTTGGTTCCTCTTCAGTTGTTTTTTTTTTTTTTTTTTCTTTTTTTTGAGACAGCATATAGCTTTGCAGTTCAGGCTGGCCTTGAGCTTACTTTGTAGTCCAGGCTGGCCTCAAACTCATGGCGATCCTCCTGCCTCAGCCTCCCAAGGGCTGGGATTACAGGTGGGTGCCACCTGGGGAAAGTTCATATTCTCTCTCTCTTAGGATGGAACCTGCAGTCTTCTTGTTTGGATCTCTCTCTCTCTCTCACACACACACACACACCCTTTTCCCATCTAAGCCTGGTGCCAAGCTCCTGCCCTCAGTCAGAGTGGTGTTCTAATCTTCTCATTTCTGTCCTTTCCTGACGTGGGAGGTGGGGAGCTCTTGAATCAGAGCTGAGTGGTCCTGTCCTCTTTCTTCTGGATGGCAAGCTGCCTGGGAGTCTCCTCCAGGAAGGCCCTGGCACAGTCTGGAGCCTTGGGAAAGGCCATCTTCCCAGGAGCTGGCTGCCTTCTGCAGGTTTCCCGGACAGTGAGGGCTCTGGGGATCTGGGACCTCAAAGGAGATGAGGATGGGCCTGGTGTATGTACGTTCACATTTGACTCTGTGTCTCTGACCTGACCCTGATTCTGCTGCAGCTCTGGCCTGCCCAAGGCTACCCTTGGCCCTGACCTTCATTTTGCTCTGGTCACTTGACCTTGACTTTTTTCCTATTCTTGGTCCAGGGCCTGTGCCCCCCTGCTTCTCGGGGCTCACCTCACGTCAGTCCATCACTGAGATCAAGGCTTCCCTTGGGGCCCCCTTGTCCTGGGCTGAAGGCAGAATGCCCAGGCGCTGCAGGCCACAGGTATCTGCAGGCAGCGGTCTGCAAAGGCAGTGGATCGCCCACACCTCCCCTCTGCCCTTAAGCGGGGAGGCTTCTGGGCCCAGGGGTGAAGCCTCTCGGCACCTGGAAAATTCTTCAGTTCAGGGCCCTCTAGAACCATCTGTGCCCAGCTAATATTCTTTTTTGGACAGATCCAGTGCACTCACATTCCCATGTGGGTAGGGGACAGAATACGGAATATGTAGGTGCAAGTCCTGTGACTTGACACTTCCCTTCACACACCCACACGCACACACACACACCTGTGTACCCAGCTACACACTTACGTAGATGCATATCCATACAGACACATTCCAGACTCCCTGCCTGTACACTAAGCACTCAGAGGCACACACACACTCGTAATTATAGAAATGGTCACTTAGGGTCACCCGGGGGCATCATCACTTTTTCTGTTAGAGGCTTCCCTCAGATGCCTGCAGTGTGCTCACGTTCATGAGTAGGACGCTAAAAAAGTAGGGTTCCTTTTCTTATTTCCTTTCCCTTTTAGATGGATCTCACTATGTAATTCAGGCTGGCCTCGAACTTCCTATGTAGCCTGGATTGGCTTTGAACTGGTGGTGATCCCGAGTGCTGGGATTACAAGTGTGCGCCACCACACCTGGCTAAAAGAGCTTCTTGAAGGCCTCAAATTACGGGTGAGTTTTTGTCAACTGTGAACATTACTGTGGGATGATGTAGTTAGACTATTTTCTTACAAATTTTAAGGTCAGTATCCACATATCTTTCCTCCCAAGGTCCAGGTTCTTTGTCAAAGCCTCTTGACTAGGTCCTTTACCAAAGACTGTCTTCAGCCTTTGGCTTGAGGGTGTGACCTAACTGCTCACATGTGAGAGCCTGTGTAAAGAGAGCTGCCGGGGGCCTCAGCATTGAGCATGCGGAGCTTCGCCTGTTTTCAGAGTGGCAGCCGCCCTCCCCTTGTATCCCCGTCCTGAGGGCCTCTCCAGAAAACAGGCCTTGTGGATTTTTCAGAGACAGAGGCAGGCAGTCACCGCTGGCAGGGGATAGGAGAGAGAATTAGTGGGCTTAACTGCTTCTTAAATGGCTTTCAAATAATCCTTACTTTAGCCTTGGTCCTGCCCCATCTTCAATTCCAGAGAGCCCTAGGATTACCAATTCCGGAGCCATTTGGACATTCTGCAGGTTTTAAATTGAATTATGTCTGGGGTTTCCTATTCCAGGCTTTGAATTCAGCTTTCTCAGATCGACCGAGTCAGTTACTGCGCAGCTGCCGTACTTCCCGCTTCCACGGTCCTCTCCCCACCGTCAGGCCTTCTCTCCGCCTCCTGAGCTTCTGCCGCAAGTGCCCACTCGCTGTAGTTTCGGAGGGGCTTCCGACGGGGTCAGAACACAGATGTGTTCGATTTTAGCCCCGAGAATTGTAGTTCTTTATGCATTCTACGCACTAATCCGTTACATGCTGCAAATCTCTGAGCTTGTGCCTTTCATCTTTAATTTTCTTTATGGAGTCTTTGATGAACAGAAGTTCTTAATTTAAACATAGTTGAATTTATTAATCTCTTCTTTTATGGCTGGTGCTTTCTGTGACTTAAGAAACCCATCCGCTCTCTCAGATAATGGAGATAATGTTTTCTATTTTCTTCTAAAAGCTGTACTTTTTTACTTTCTGTATTTAACTTGTCAGGACCTGATTCTTTGGGTTTGGTGTGAGTTAGGGATTCATTTTATTTCTATCAATATATGGATAACCAGTTTTCCATTGAGAGCACAGACTTGTAATGCTATCCCAAAGCCAATATATCTTTTCCAGTAGCTTTATTTCAATCATCTTGGTTGTATTGTTTTCATATATGTGTGGGTCTCTTTCTGATTTTCAATTTCATTAATTTATCTCTGTATTAATACAATGTTCCATGAATTTCTGTAGGTTTGCAATAAATCTTAATATCTCCTTAGGCAAAATCCCCTCCTTCTGCTGGGTCTGGCAGCCCACATCTGCACCCCCAGCACTTGGGAAGCTGAGGCAGGAGGAGCATCACAAATTCAAGGGCAGGCTTTGATACACAGTGAGTTCAAGACCAGTTCTGGACTACACAGTGAGATCGTGTCTCAAAAAAAAAAAAAAAAAAAAAAAATCCCCTTTTTAAAAAAGTGTATTTTGACTATTTCTTGGACTTTTGCTCTTTTTTTTTTCTTTTTCTTTTCTTTCTTTTCTTTTCTTTCCTTTTTTTGAGGCAGAATCTCACTATATAGTTAAGGATGGTCTTGAACTCACTATCTAGCCCAGGCTGGCCTCAAACTGATGGCGATCCTCCTGCCTCAGCCTCCCGAGTGCTGGGATTACAGGTGTGTGTCACCATACCAGGCTTGTGCTCTTCTTCATAAAGTTTAGAAACACTTTGCTAAATTCCTCAAAAAATCCTGTTGAAAATACAGTCAATTGACTGTATTGAATCTTTATGATAGTAAGGTATAAGCAGGTGATGTCTCTCTATTTATTTAATATTTAATAAAGTTCTATAATATTATCCATTCAATTTTGCACACATTGATTTATTTTTACTTTAAACTTTTTTGTTGTTAGAATCAAGTATATTTTAAACATTATACTCCCTAAATATTGTCATCTGTATAAGAAAATGTGATTGGCTTTTCATCCTATACTCATCCAACTTTTAAATTCTGATACTCTAAGAATTTATATATTCTACACGCAAAGTTGTATCATCTATAAATAATGACAGTTTTCTTTCTTTCTTTCTTTCTTTCAGCTCCACTCTAATGTTAAATAGAAGTCATGATAGTAAAAATCCTTGCTTTGATACCAATTTAAAAAAAAAATTCGGGGGCTGGGGATTTAGCTCAGCGGCAAAGCGCCTGCCTGGCAAGCGCAAGGTCGTGAGTTCGGTTCCCGGTACCGGAGAAAAAAAAAAAAACCAAAAAAAAAAAAAATCACTTAAAAAAAAAATTCTCCTTATATACTCCAGGCCAGCCTGACTAGTCATTGGAATAATGTTGGCTGTATACTTTCGGTATATATCCTTTATCAAGTTAGGCAAGTTTACTTCTTATGTTTTCTGAATTGTTTTTCTTCTCAATCATGAATGGGTATTGAATTTTAACAACTATTTCTGTGTCTCTTTTCAAATAGCTTTACTGAGATATAGTTTACATACCATTAAATTCACTGTTTAACCATCTAATTCAAGGATTTTTAGTAAGTATATAGAGTTGTTCAACTACCACCACAAACTAGTTTTAGAATATTTCTCTCACCCTCAAAAGATTTCTCCTGCACATTTAATTTCTATCTATTTTGAAATGATTTTCTATCTATTTTGAAATGGATTTCTCCTTGGATCTGTTAATGTGATAAATGACATTTATTTTTCTAATATTAAACCATCCTTACACTTATGGAATAAATACACCCTAACCACCATCAATTATTCATAGTGAATATTTTTATTCACTGCTGGCTGCAGTTGCTAATATTTTGTTAGAATTTTGATTGTTATTTATGCATAATTTTCTTTTCTTACAACTGTTCTTGATTAGTTTTACACCGAAGCTGTGCTGGCTTCATAGCATGAATTGGGACTCACCCTCTCTTCTCCTCTTCTTTGGGACTTTGTGTACAATTGAAATAAACTGTTCTTGAGCATTTGAATGAATATAATTTAATTATCTCTACTGGAAAGTTAGATACTTTCTTTGTGGAAAGTTGTAAAATTATTGGCTTAATTCTTTAACTTTTACAGGCGCATTCCAGCTGTTCCAGCTCTTCTTGCTCAGTGCAAAGACCGTGATTCAATCCCCACTACCGCAAACCAGACCAGACCAGACCAGACCCCAAAAGCTAAAAACAGACAAAAAAGCCAAGAGACTCCGCAAGGCTGCTGTCTTTGCATCTCTCGTTGAGCCTAAAGTCATAGCTGGCAGGCAGGAGGGTGAGTTAGACTTGAAGTGGGGAAAAGCAGGATGACCCGGAGCCCAAGAGGACAGCTAGGGCCTGCATGCGCCCGCTGCCGCTAATGTGATGACGGGGATGCCCTTCAGGGATGCAGGTGCCCTTTGCGCTGGGCTGTGACACACCTGGCCCAGGACCCGAAGAACTTGGAGCAGGACACGCAGTCGAAACTGAAGGAGCTGTGGCTGCAGGTTCCCCTCCACCAACACAGGGAGCAAAATCCGCAACCCTGTGAGCGAACCTCTGTGTCACGTGCCCACGTCAGCAGGGTAAGAGTGGTCACTCCCGCATTCGTGCCTGCCGAGTACCAGGCAGATTTCTCTTGTGGACGATCGGGAACAACTTGTGGAGGGAAATTCTGGGAAGTGTGGTTTCCGCTGGTCGGCAGTGCGAGGCACACCCAGCATCCCCCTTCACAGCGACGCGAGGGTCTCCGGACCCCTTGACTCCGTCCGGTCCCAGCTTACATGGTGCTGTTTTCTAGTGTTTCAGCTCTTCCTTTAAATATTACAAATTAAAAACCACTACAGTTATTTTCTAAAGATAATATTTGCTGAGATCACAGGCATGTGCCACCATGCCTGGTGAGACTTGGGGTTTTTAAATACTTTTATTTTTAACATTTCTACTCAGTTCCTTTTTACATTTGTCTGCTCATTTTAAAAAATACGATCTTGATCCTTGCTTATTTGATCATTGTACATTTTAAACATTCATAGTCATTTTGTGTTAAGTCCAGTATTTGCAGTCCTTGCTGGTTTAAGTCTGCTGTTTGTTGTTTCTTTTGATTCTGTAACATGGTGGTTTTCTTTCTTTTCCTTTCTTAGCATGTGTGTGTGTGTGTGTGCGTACACTTGTGTGTGTGTTCGAGATCTAATCCAGGGTTTAGTGCATGTTAGGCAAGTTACTTACTTCTGAGTTACACGACCAGCCCTGGTTGTTTTCTTACCTCTCTTGCTATGAGCTCATGTTTGATTAGCCTTACTTTGAAAAATGCCCTGACGCCTACATGGAGGATATTTTCCACGACAGAAGATATTACTCTGTGTGTGAGGGTGGAGTGTGTGTGTGTGTAAGTGTGGAATGTGTGTGTGGGTGGGATGTGTGTGTGGAATAAGTGTGTGTGTGAGGGTGGAATGGGTGGGTGTGGGTGGAATAGATGTGTACAAGTGGAACGGGTGTGTGCGTGTGTGTGTATAATTGTGTGGAGTGTGTGTGAGGGTGGGATGTGTGTGTGTGGAATAAGTGTGTGTGTGTATAATTGTGTGGAG